GAAGAAGGAAGCATGATCCAATTTGCTCCTGCAGAGAAAAAAATTCCTTCCTGATCCCCCGAGAGGCAATCGGATATTCCCTGGATCCAGATTCCCTATAAATGTTATATCCAGTTATATTCTGTGTATCCAAGAAAGAATCCAGGACTTTTTTTAAAGCAATCCAATATAATAGAATGGATTAAAGTAGAATGGAATAGAAAATAAAAGAACAGACAAAAAACGGAATAAAAAATAAAAGTATAAAAGAATAGAAAAGAACAGCAATGGGCAAACTACGGCCCGGCGGACCTTTTAATCCGGCCCGTGGAGCGTGATACTGTCAGGATGGCTGTCAGGATGTGTGTAGGCGGGGCAGCGTGACGAACGTGAGGGGAGCTAGGCTCCTCTCACAGTCCGCCCTGAAGACCGGAATGGCGCGGGAACACGGCGAGAAGAACGCGTGGAGCAAAGGTAAGTAAATTGACACAGGGGGGACTTGGGGACTTAATATGGGGGATGAATTACTATGGGGGATGAATTACTATATGGGGGATGAATTACTATGGGGGATGAATTACTATATGGGGGATTAATTACTATATGGGGGATGAATTACTATGGGGGATGAATTACTATATGGGGGATTAATTACTATAGGGGGGATGAATTTATATGGGGGATGAATTACTATAGGGGGGATGAATTACTATATGGGGGATGAATTACTATGGGGGATGAATTACTATATGGGGGATGAATTACTATGGGGGATGAATTACTATGGGGGATGAATTACTATATGGGGGATGAATTACTATAGGGGGGGATGAATTACTATAGGGGGGATGAATTACTATATGGGGGATTAATTACTATATGGGGGATTAATTACTATATGGGGGATGAATTACTATGGGGGATGAATTACTATAGGGGGGATGAATTACTATATGGGGGATGAATTACTATAGGGGGGATGAATTGCTATGGGGGATGAATTACTATGGGGGGGATGAATTACTATATGGGGGATGAATTACTATAGGGGGGATGAATTACTATATGGGGGATGAATTACTATAGGGGGATTAAATACTATATGGGGGATTAATTACTATAGGGGATGAATTACTATATGGGGGATGAATTACTATGGGGGATGAATTACTATATGGGGGATGAATTACTATGAAGGATGAATTACTATATGGGGGATGAATTACTATATGGGGGATGAATTACTATGGGGGATGAATTACTATGGGGGATGAATTACTATATGGGGGATGAATTACTATAGGGGGGATGAATTACTATAGGGGGGATGAATTACTATATGGGGGATGAATTACTATGAAGGATGAATTACTATATGGGGGATGAATTACTATAGGGGGGATGAATTACTATGGGGGATGAATTACTATGGGGGATGAATTACTATAGGGGGGATGAATTACTATAGGGGGATGAATTACTATGGGGGATGAATTACTATGAAGGATGAATTACTATATGGGGGATGAATTACTATATGGGGGATGAATTACTATATGGGGGATGAATTACTATATGGGGGATTAATTACTATAGGGGGGATGAATTACTATAGGGGGGATGAATTACTATGGGGGATGAATTACTATATGGGGGATGAATTACTATACTTACTATGGATGACACATACACATCATTCATCTACTCTTGGTCCGGCCCCCGGGTCCAATATATGAACCCATTGCGGCCCTCAAGTCAAAAAGTTTGCCCACCCCTGGGCTAGAAAATAAAAGAATAGGAAAGAACAGAATAGAGGAGAACATAGAATAGAAAAGAACAGAATAGATGAGAAAATAAAAAAAAAGAAGAGAATAGAATAGAAAAGAACAGAATAGAAGAAAAAATAAAAAAATAGAAGAGAAAATAAAAGAATAGAAAAAAACAGAATAGAAAATGAAAAAAATAGAAGAGAAAATAAAAGAATAGAAAAAAACAGAAAAGCACAGGATAGAAAATAAAAGAATATAGAAGAAGAGAAAATAAAAACGAATAGAAGAGAAAATAAAAGAACAGTAAAAAAACGAATAGAAAAGAACAGGATAGAAAAAATATAAGAATAGAAAAGAAGAGAAGAGAAAATAGAAAAGAAGAGAAAATTAAAGAATAGAAAAAAAAATGAATAGAATAGAACAGGATAGAAAATAAAAGAATAGAAGAGAAAATAGAATAGAAGAGAAAATTAAAGAATAGAAAAAAAAAACAGGATAGAAAATAAAAGAATATAGGAGAAGAGAAAATAAAAGAATAGAAAATAACAGAATGAATAGAATAGAACATTTTTTTTTAGAAAATAATAGTCTAGAATAGAATAAAATAGAGCAAATATAGTCGTCGTCCAAAATCTGAATGTCCAAATTTGCATCGATTTGAAAATAATATACGAAACAAATACGAAAACGAAGTTCTGAAAACGAATCATTCCAACATCGCGAATATAACAGAAATAAATGATTACCTTAACAAATGAATCCGAAACAGAACAAAACAAATTTTTCTCTAGTTGTCCCCTAAGGACAGGACTACGGGACACCCACCCTTCTTCTCCATAACATAGGGGGAGGGGGTTTGTAGTCCTCAAAGATAACTGGAAACAATGTACCTGATGAGATCCCAGGAAGTTCTCGGCTCACAAGACTTCAGGCAGGATCAACGGGTATATTTTTTGCACTTATTGAAGAGATATAAGAAAACCCTTTTAATGGGATATTTAACAGAAGAAGTAGGAGAAGATCGCTGTTGGGGCGTCCACACCCTATAAAGACTACCCGACACACGCCGCCTCCAGGAAGCTGATTGTGTGTGTACTGATCCATCCAGATCTACGCGCCTTATCTGACCCCAGCATCAGAACGCTCTTGCCAAATATCATATTTTACATTTTTGTGTACTTGGATCAGAAAAGAAACAGCCGGAGGAGATCAGACGTTTGGAAGCGGAGGAGATCAGACGTTTGGAGGAGATCAGACGTTTGGAAGCCGGTCAGAGGACTAAGCAGATTATCTCCGACATCAAAGTGGTCGCTCCCTTAAATTGACCCTTTCCTTGCTGGGAGCGCCGGGCTCTATGGCTGGACAGTCACATCAAAGTTGTCTAAGCTCCACCAGTGACAGGAGCTGTCAGACAGCCAAGGGAGGGGAGGGTATTGGGCCCTCTGGGGGGGATGGAGTCTGGCATCCCTTTAGACCCTGGAGGGGGGGGCATGGTCTGTGCCCTGTATACAGTAGAGGGGAGGTGGGCTGTCATCCCATTATGGGTAGTAGGAGGGGAGAGGAGGTATCGCATCACATGCTGGATCCAGCCCAGAGACACAGAGCTGAGAAGAATGAGTCTGTAATGGGAGCTTCATCCACCCAGAGATCCAGCAGCCCCCCCTCCCATCACACGCCGAAATTATAAAAGAGGAGCAGAGTGGGGGCCACTCAGACGCTGCAGTCTGACACAGCAAACTTCCAGCCAGCCTGACTGCCAGGATCTACCCAACCAGGGGGGGGGGGGGAATCCATTGTGAGCCACTGAGTTTTACCAAACCACAGGATTCACTGGGATTCACCAGACCATGGGATTCACTGGTATCAACTGAACGTCAGGGTTTACTGGGATCCACCAAACCGCAGGATTCACTGGGATCCACCAAACGTCATTATTCACTGGGATCCACCAAACGTAAGGGTTCACTGGGATCCACCAAACCGCAGGATTCACTGAGATCCACCAAAACGTCAGAGATTACTGGGATCTACCAAACCGCAAGCATCACTGAGATCCACCAAGACATCAGGGTTCACTAGGATCCTCCAAACCACAGGATTTACTGAAATCCACCAACCGTCAGGGTTCACAGATCCACCAACCGTCAGGGTTCACTGGGATCCACTAAACCACAGGATTCACTGAGATCCACTAAACGTCAGCGCTTACTGGGATCCACCAAACCACAGGATTCACTGGGATCCACCAACCGTCAGGGTTCACTGAGATACACCAACGGTCAGGGTTTGCTGGGATACACCAAACCAAAGGATTCACCAAAACATCAGGGTTCACCGGGTTCCAATAAACCACAGGATTCACTGGGATCTACCAAACATCTGGGTTCACTGGGATCCACCTAAACCGCACAATTCACTGTGAGCCACCAAACATCAGGGTTCACTGAGGTCTGCCAAACCGCAGGGTTCTTCTGGGACCCATCAAACCACAGGATTTAGTGAGAACCAGCAAACCACAGGATTCACTGTGTGCAACCAGACCCAGAATTCACTGATATCAACCGAACATCGGGGTTTATTTATTTATTCGGGGTTCACTAAGATTTACCAAACCGCAGAATTTGCAGCGAGAAACTAGAATCCACCAAACCACAGTACTGCTTGAACCTTAGAAGGATAGGGTAGACATCCCTATACCATTTCTGGTCTGGAAAATTTGACTGCAAATAAAAAGTATTGCGGCCAGTACTCAACTGTATCGTACTAAACCACAGGATTCGCTGTGACCTACAGGAATCGACTCCACAGAGATCGAACCATCTACTGGATACTCCTCAAGCCTTCTGCCTCTACCCAACAGATGGACCGACTCTGATCTAAAAGAGTCCACTGTGAGCCTCTGGAACCCTACAAGGTTTATTCTAGAACTTTTTCTTGGATGCTCCTCTCCTGGTAGACCAGGATCTTCTCACCAATACAGGAACTGGTCCTGCACACTTGTCATCTTCATTTCCTAATTCTGAGGCTGAACCTGTCTGCAAACTTTCCCTACTAATAACACGCAGACCACTCCTGTGAGGAGAGGACCATGCGTCCTACAGGCATCATGGCAGACTAATAGCTGGTCCTGACTTCCAGTATTCTGGTACTTGTCCTGGAAGACCTCTTTACAGAACGACGACCTTCAAGGGGGAAGATTATTGGAAGGACTCTCTGGATTTACTGTCTCCTCCTGAACCTGTGTCACCAAACATGGCATCTACTGATGGTGTCACCAGGCTGGAGAGGTGGGCACCCACCACACTGCTCTGCCTGCTCCTTATTAGTCAGGTGGGACTGTCTGTGGCTCACCAGGTGAACACATGTGAAGCGAATGGTAGTGTGTACTATGTTGGCGAGTGGTATTTTCTGGACTCGGACCATTGCACACAGTGTGAGTGTACCTCAGAGGGGCCAGCCTGTGCCAGGACAGAGTGCACCGCTCTACCACCGGCCTGCATGCATGTCAGTCACTACCCCACCGACTGCTGCCCCCGCTGCGAGAAGATTGGCTGTGAGTACAGAGGAGAGGTCTACGAGCTGGGCGAACACTTCCAGGTACCTACATTCCACTCCACCCTACACTGAACATATCAGTCTATTGGATGCAAATCTCTGCTGCTTCTACCCCCAGCATGCATTGTCCCCGTTTCCTCTGCCCCTCTATACACTGCTCATTGCATGCCAGTCTCAGCCCTTGCTCAAGGTGGGTTATGTGCCCCCTATACCTCACCTCTGCCACCTCCTCATACTGGTCATTGTGCCCCCTACATCGAACCTCTGCCACCTCCTCATACTGGTCATTGTACCCCCTACACCGAACCTCTGCCACCTCCTCATACCGGTCATTGTGCCCCCTATACCTCACCTCTGCCACCTCCTCATACTGGTCATTGTGCCCCCTACACCGAACCTCTGCCACCTCCTCATACTGGTCATTGTACCCCCTACACCGAACCTCTGCCACCTCCTCATACCGGTCATTGTGCCCCCCTATACCTCATCTCTGCCACCTCCTCATACCGGTCATTGTGCCCCCTATACCTTCATCTCTGCCACCTCCTCATACTGGTCATTGTGCCCCCTATACCTCCCCTCTGCCACCTCATACCGGTCATTGTGCCCCCTACACTGAACCTCTGCCACCTCATCATACCGGTCATTGTGTCCCCTATACCTCATCTCTGCCACCTCCTCATACCGGTCATTGTGCCCCCTATACCTCCCCTCTGCCACCTCATACCGGTCATTTTGCCCCCTATACCTCCCCTCTGCCACCTCCTTATTCATTGTGCCCCTACACCTAACCATCTGCCACCTCCTTATACTGGTCATTGTGCCCCCTACACCGAACCTCTGCCACCTTATACCGGTCATTGTGCCCCTATACCTCCCCTCTGCCACCTCTTACCGGTCATTGTGCCCCCTATACCTCCCCTCTGCCACCTCCTCATGCCGGTCATTGTGCCCCTACACCTACCTCCCCTCTGCCACCTCCTTATACTGGTCATTGTGCCCCCTACACGAACCTCTGCCTCCTTATACGGTCATTGTGCCCCTATACACCTCCCCTCTGCCACCTCTTACCAATCATTGTGCCCCCTATACCTAACCTCTGCCACCTCCTCATATTGGTCATTGTGCCCCCTATACCTCACCTCTGCCACCTCCTCATACTGGTCACTGTGCCCCCTATACTTCATCTCTGCCACCTCCTCATACCGATCATTGTGCCCCCTACACTCTCACCTCTGCCACCTCCTCATACTGGCCATTGTGTCCCCTATACCTCACCTCTGCCACCTCCTCATACCAGTTCATTGTGCCCCCTATACCTCCCTCTGCCACCTCCTCATACCGGTCATTGTGCACCCTATACTCCCCTCTGCCACCTCCTCATACCGGTCATTGTGCCCCCTATACCTCACCTCTGCCACCTCCTCATACGGTCATTGTGCCCCCTTTACCTCACCTCTGCCACCTCCTCATACCGGTCATTGTGCCCCCTATACCTCCCCTCTGCCACCTCCTCATACTGGTCATTGTGCCCCTGTACCTCACCTCTGCCACCTCCTCATACCGGTCATTGTGCCCCCTATACCTCCCCTCTGCCACCTCCTCATACTGGTCATTGTGCCCCCTGTACCTCACCTCTGCCACCTCCTCATACGGTCATTGTGCCCCCTATACCTCACCTCTGCCACCACTTCCCCCAGTGATCAGACTGTACATTGTAACTTTGTAGAAGGAGGAGGAAGCATTTCCTCAGTCTCCCCTCCCCCAGTGATCAGACAGTACATTGTAACTTTGTAGAAGGAGGAGTAGTTATTTTCGCAGTCTGCCCCCTCCCCCAGTAATCAGACTGTACATTGTAACTTTGTAGAAGGAGGAGGAAGCATTTCCTCAGTCTCCCCTCCCCCAGTGATCAGCATGTACATTGTAACTTTGTAGAAGGAGGAGGAAGCATTTCCTCAGTCTCCCCTCCCCCAGTGATCAGACTGTACATTGTAACTTTGTAGAAGGAGGAGGAAGCATTTCCTCAGTCTCCCCTCCCCCAGTGATCAGACTGTATATTGTAACTTGTAGCCAGTCACAAGGTGAGAGTTATCAGCAGGGGCTGATTTGTGTCAGACAATTGTTTAATAAGTAAATTACATTGTAGGGTGGAACCACATATCCCAGAATGCAATATGGTACCCCACCGTTTACACTGGGTGGTCAGTTTCCCATACAGAGGACACAGTATCATGTTGTATTGCGGTGTTGTTGGTTCCCGAAATGCGGGCACAATGTAGTCTTGGGGGGGCGGGGATTTGCCTTGTCCTGATTGAGCTCATTTGTTCAGTATATATTCCTCCCAATGGAGTCAATCAACACCGCCACACTCTATGAGGGAGATATAGAGAGGCCCCGTATGTATGTAGCCAGGATGGTAGATTTGTATTCTGGAGGTAACAGGCTTCTTCTCCTGATTTCTGGACACTATGTACAGGCTCTTGAAGTGTTTGCTATAACGCAGGGGTGTCCAACTGGCGACCCTCCAGCTGTTGCGAAACTACAAGTCCCATCATGCCTCTGGGAGTCATGCTTGTAACTGTCAATCTTGCAATGCCTCATGGGACTTGTAGTTTGGCAGCAGCTGGAGGGCCGCCTGTACAAAACGGGAGAGTGCAGAGTGATTTACTAATATATATAAGTCCCTGAATGTGACCCAGCCTCAGTCCCTGTACAGCAGGGCTGGAATGTGAGAGGAAGAAGCAGCACAAGGAGCCAGTTCATGTTCTGACAAGAAGCACGCTGATAGGAGGAGAGAGCAGCGTGATAGAAAGATGAGCTCGTCACTGTGCTGCTTCTCCTTTCACGGCCCAATCACAAGCTGGGGGGGGTCAAGGATGACCTGGGCTCAGAGGAAGTCGGTTGAATAATGCTGGCCATCAGACTGTGGCAGGATAAAGTACAGCAGGAGAAATCTCTGCACTGAAGGTGAATTTTGCAGCAAAAACTGATTTAGTTTTTTGGGGGGGTTTTTATCCGATTCCTGACCGCCTTATAAAAGAAGTACAGCTGCCGGGCTGCGCAAAATCACACATATATACGTGATCTTGTGTCTCCAGGGGCCCGCGCACCGTCATTGGCGGCTACAGCTGTCGATCACCAGGTCCCGGACAGAGATTCCCCGCCGGCACCCGGCGATCGCCAAGGAACACTGACAGGGGAGAGGTCTGTATGTAAACAATACAGATCTCTCCCCTGTCAGCTCCAGCACGCTGCTTTGTATGGTTCTGCATAGCAGCATGTGTACAGTGAAACACACCCAGCACACAGTTAACCCTTTGATTGTCCCGCATACTAACCCCTTTCTGCCCAGTGTCATTAGTACAGTGTCAGTGCTTTTTATTAGCACTGATCACTGTATTGGTGTCACTGGGGATGACCGTGGCAGTTAGTCAGTCCCCCCCCCCAGTGTCAGAATGCCCGCCGCAGTCCCGCTATAAGTCGCTGATCGCCGCCATTACTAGTAAAAAAAAAATCCCATTATCTATGCCGCCATTTATAGACGCTATAACTTTCACGTAAGCCAATGAATTTACACGTATTGGGAAATTTATGATGACTTTTTTTTTTTTTTTTTTACTGGACGTGTTTATTAGCAAAAAGTAAAAAATATTGGGGGGTTTTTTTCTTCAAAATTGTCGGTCTTTTTTGATTATAACGCAAAAAAAAATGCACTGGCGTTCGAATACCGCCGAAAGAAAGCTCTATTCGTGGGGAAAAAAAGGACGTCAATTTCATTTGGGTGCAGCGTTGCATGACCGCGCAATTGTCAGTCAAAGTAACGCAGCGCCGTAATGCAAAAAAAATGACCTGGTCAGGAAGGGGGGGGGGGGGAATCCTCAGGAGGGGCGAGTGGTGAATAGCAAAAAGCCCAAAATATAGTTTTCTTTATCAAAATTGTCGGTCTGTTTATAGCGCGAAAAATAAAAACGCACAAGCGGAAGAAAGCTCTATTTGTGGGGAAAAAAGGACGCAAATTTCATTTGGGTGCAGCGTTGCATGACTGCGCAACTGTCAGTTAAAGTAACACAGCACCGTAAGGCAAAAAATGGCCCGGTCAGGAAGGGGGGTAAATCCTCAGGAGGGGGAGGGGTTAATAGACCAAAAATTTTGAGAAAGAAAACTATATTTTTGACTTTTTGCTATTAACCCCTCCCCCCCCCCCCCCCCCCAGAGGCTTTACCCACCTTCTTGACCGGGCCATTTGGTGCAATACGGCACTGCGTTACTTCAACTGACAATTGCGCGGTCATGCAACGCTGCACCCAAATGAAATTTACGTCCTTTTTCCCCACAAATTGAGCTTTCATTTGGTGGTATTCTATCGCCTCTGCGCTTTTTATTTTTTGCGCTATAAACAGATTAAAAATTTTGAAAAGAAAACTATATTTTTGACGTTTTGCTGTTTATAGCGCAAAAAATAAAAAGCGCAGAGGCGATAGAATACCACCAAATGAAAGCTCAATTTGTGGGGAAAAAAAGGACGTAAATTTAATTTGGGTGCAGCGTTGCATGACCCGCGCAATTGTCAGTTAAAGTAATGCAGCGCCGTATCGCACCAAATTTCCCGGTCAGGAAGGGAGGGAAATCCTCTGGAGGGGGAGGGGTTAATAGCAAAAATTAAAAAATACAGTTTTCTTTCTCAAAATTGTCGGTCTGTTTATAGCGTGAAAAATAAAACCGCACGGGCGAAAGAAAGGACGTAAATTTAATTTGGGTGAGGCGTTGCATGACCGCGCAATTGTCAGTTGAAGTAACGTAGCGCCCTACCACAAAAAATGGCCCGGTCAGGAAGGCGGGTAAATCCTCAGGAGGGGGGAAGGGGTTAATAGACCAAAAATATTGAGAAAGAAAACTATATTTTTGACTTTTTGCTATTAACCCCTCCCCCTCCAGAGGATTCCTTCCCCTTCCTGCCATTTTTTGCGGTAGGGCGCTGCGTTACTTCAACTGACAATTGCGCGATCGTGCAACGCCGCACCCAAATGAAATTTACGTCCTTT